CAGATTTGTAACCCCATAGCTGGCCTTTAAACTAGAAATAACACATACATGTGGTTATGTAGTTAATTCTTAGAAAATAAACTAGAACTAATAAGAATTAATTCGTAATTAAACTGATCAGAGTTAACAAAATTTATCAAAAGGTAAAACCGCAAAGTGTATCCGAAATGTATACCTCTAGACCGCAAGGTGAACTGATTGAAAAGTCACTTGCCCAGGTCAAACTGCAAAGTCACGAGCCAAGCCAAAAGGTTCCAACCAAAAAGTTGAATCTACTTCTGGGATCATACACCCGAGAAGTTAACTTTTTGGACGAGTGGCATATTTTCAGTTGAAAAAATATTTTCAAAAAGTTGGCATACCTTAACCCATATGGGCTGCCAGTTTTTGCACCCCCTTGTGCGTGTGATAGGGGTTTCATGCTATACAATTTAATCTCTTTCTAAAAGGAAATTGTATATATAGTAGTGCAAACTCACTTCCCATTCCACTGTGAGACAAAAGGCTTCTTCAAAGCCTTCTCATCTCCATTTTCCATGAGTCTATTTTGAGAATGAATTTTCATTCATCGATTAATCCATATTATCCATTTTGAGCGTATGATATATCAATTTATTTGTCTCACTATGAAGAACCCGAATCCACTTTGACCTTACACAAATATGAAGTAGATCCCACTTATAATATTTATACCACAAAATAACTACTTAGAATGTCATTTTTGCTAAAAATTTCTAAGATAACTCTAACGGAGAGTTGAACTCAATACTGGAAGATTAGGAGAACATTATTGAATATGACAAACAACATGCCGTTCATATCACGACTAGATAGTCAACTATAGTGAAATTTTGGGTTATTTCACTTTCAATCACTTGATTATAATGTTATTTTTGTTTTTGATTTATTTCATTTTTAATTTTCAAATTTAAATTTAACAAATATTTTACATTTAGTTAATCTTCTCACTTTTAAAAAATGTCACTAAATTGTCCACCATATGTATCGGGATGTTTGCGGGGTAGGTTCATAAGGGGGCAATGTAAGCAATTGTCTAAACCAAGCTAAATTGGTTATAACTGATCGACTCAAAAAAAAAAAAAAAAATCAATAGATAACTTTCACAAAGAGTTGACCTCAATACTTAAAGATGTGAAAGACATTATTGAATATGACAACATACCGTTCATATCACGACTAGATAGTGAACTATAGTGAAATTTTGGGTTATTTCACTTTCAATCACTTGATTATAAAGTTATTTTTATTCTTGATTTATTTTTGTTTTAATTTTCAAATTTAAATTTAAAAATATTTTACATTTAGTCATGATATCACGACTGACCACCAGCTACGAGGAGTCGAGGATTATAATGAAATCAAGGATATTTCTAAAGGGGAGACATGATGCCCCTTATATAGTGTTGAAGATCCATCTAGATGCTTGACAAGTGTATGACCCTAGTTATTCTCCATTTTTTGCCATACATGTGGCCCCAGTACTTTACTGTCAGAATTCTTCACTTGAATAAGTAGAATATCATGCCTTTTGTTAGACAAGAACAAGATATAGAGTAGCTTAGCTAGTTGGGACTTGTGTTACCATACTTGAGGTTCTAGTATGACAGCATACTTAGTGGCAGATCCAGAAAGTGGGGGCAAAACATTATAGTTTGAAAAACAATGAAACACTTAAAAAATATAATCATAAATATTGTTGGATATCTAGACAAAAAATAAAACACATTAAAACTTTATAAAAATATTCATAACAAAATATGAAACATAATTAATTTGATAAAATAATTCAAATAAAAAAACGCATTATAAATTATACATCTCATTATATATATATATATATATATATATATATATATATATATATATATATATATATATATATATATATATATATATATATATATATATATATATATAGGGACGCACTCAGGTGCGAATAAGTTTCCAGGAAGAAAATGCGAACGAATCAGCGCGCGACACGTGTCCAGATCTAATAACTTAAAAAAAAATGCGGTGGCATTTTCGTAAATAATTGAACATCGAAGTGCAAGTAAAATCTCTTATAAGTGCACCTATTTTCACCTATAAGTGCATGTAATTTTGCCTTGTTAGCATTCACTTTCCGCAACCATTCATGCACCTGGGTGTGCTTATAACTATATGTGCAACTATTTATAACTATAGGTGCAACTACTTATAACTATTGGTGCAACTACTTTCACCTATAAGTGCATGTAATTTTGCCTTGTTAACATTCATTGATCTGAGTTCAGCGGGTAGTAATACTCCTGAAAACCACTCGCAAACATTCATACACCTAGATGCAACTACTTATACCTATGTGTGCAACTACTTAGAAGTATAGGTGCAACTACTTAGAACTATAAGTGCAACTAAGTATTGATACTCAGTGTAAATTTTTACTTGCACCTATAATACATTTTACATGCACTTGTAATACATTTTACTTGCACTTCGATGTTCAATTATTTACGAAAATGCCACCGCGTTTTAAAAAAAAAAATCAGTGTTTCTCATCCATTAGATCTGGACACGTGGACGAACATAATCCATTCCTATTTCGCGCCTGGGCCAGCCGTTCGCACCCGAGTGCAAGTATATATATATATATATATATATATATATATATATATATATATATATATATATATATATATATATATATATATATATATATATATATATATATAAAAGCCATAATGAAACAGTTAGGAAAGAGAGAAATGAAGCAATTAAAGAAACCCTTATGTTGAGCCATAATGAAACAGTTAGGAAAGGGATTAACGAAGCAATAAAAGAAACCCTTTTGTTGAGAGAGGTAGGATTCGAACCATAGACAACTCCCAAATCTAAACATACCTTTGCCAATTCGTCCAACTTAAGTATCGTTCATTCTTATTCATTTTCAAATATTTATATGTAAACTATGTACTATGTATACATATATACATACAAGGGCTATATATGGGATGCGAGTGGGATGAGTGGGGGCAGCTGCCCCCATGCTAAATCCGCCCATGAGCATACTATTCATAGCACGACTAGATAGTCAACTATAGTGAAATTTTTGTCTTATTTCACTTTCAATCACTTCATTATAATGTTTTTTTTTATTGATTTATTTATTTCAATTTTAAGTTTCAAATTTAAATATAAAAATATTTTATATTTAGTTTTTTTTTTTGAATGTTACTAACTCTATTACAATGTAATATCTGTTCATAACTACTTTCTCAACATACTGAAACACAAACAGCCAATAATGCCTCCACTTAGGCTCGAACTCACAACCTCCCAAATGAGAGTTGAAATCAAATTTCACTAAATTGTCAACCATATGTATGTATGTATAGGGGTTTTGCAGTGTGTGGATGGTTCAGAAAGGGGCAATCTGTCCCCTCCCCCATCCCATGTATATATATATATATATATATATATATATATATATATATATGCTTCAATAGAAGTAAATAATACATTATTATATATAAAAGTTACTAAAGGTTGAAATAGCTTAACTAATACGGAGTAGTAAGTATCTCTCTCTCTTAGTTTGATTTAAAGATCAAATCTTACTAATTATATTTTTGCAAAGGTTGAAATAGCTTAACTAATAGTAAGTATCTCTCTCTCTTAGTTTGATTTAAAGATCAAATCTTATTAATTATATTTTTTGCAATTACTAACACACTCCAAACAAATATTGATTTTATCTTCTCATTAGAATTTTAAAAAATTATTTTAATTGATATATATATATATATATATATATATATATATATATATATATATATATATATATATATATATCAATTAAAATAATTTTTTAAAATTCTAATGAGAAGATATATATATATATATATATATATATATATATATATATATATATATATATATATATATATATATATATATATATATATATATTCATTTTATCATCTCATTAGAATTTTAAAAATTATTTAAATTGATACAGGGTGAATTAATCTCAGTATAGGTTAACTAAGTCCCAAAAAAATTTCTGTCTACCTAGGGTTTTTGCTAGGGTTTCTGGTCGCTTCATCGACGTTCACCTACGGTCGTTTCCGGTTGCTCACGGTGGTTGCTTCTCTCCTTGCGCACGAATGGCGTCGGCGTCGAACACGGCTGGTGTTGCGGGGCTAACAGCGAGGTGGGCAAATTTAGTGTTGGAAGAAGAAGCCACGGCTTTCATGCCGGTGGTGGAGTCCGACGAAGGCGATGTCATTCCGAACGAAGTGGAGGAGTCTTGGGGAGTTGTTGGGTGATTCTTGACAAGGAAGTTAGTTAAACTGGAGTTTATGAGCCAGGTCATGGCGTTGGTGTGGCAGCCGGTCAGTGGTGTCGAGGCTACGGAGGTTGAGCCTGGCCGTTTCCTGTTCGTTTTTCACCATATAACAGATATGCAGCGTGTTCTGAACGATGGGCCTTGGTCTTTCGATAATAGCACTCTTGTGTGCAAACAGGTTCCGGATGGGATGATGCCAAGTGATGTGGAGCTTGACACGGTGGACTTATGGGTTCAACTACATGGATTGCCGAAGGGGTACTCATCTGGCAGAATTCTAGAACAGATTGGGACTTTTTTAGAGAAATTTATCAAGAGTGATGATTGGTTTGATAATGCACCACGGAAGGTTTTTCACCGCATTAGGGTTTCACTAGCTGTTGATAAGCCTTTGAAAAGACGCATGAATTTTATCAAGTGAGACAAGACGAGTTGCTGGGTCAGTTTTAAATACGAACGCCTACATATGTATTGCTATTTTTGTGGATTATTAGGCCATTCTTACAAGTTATGTCGTGGTGCGAGAAACTCGGTGTTGCTAGTTGAGGAGTATTTGTATGGCTCGGAACTGAGGGCGGGAGGATCTCGTGGCCCTCGGCCAGTAGGAGGAAGTTGGCTATTGCCGCCAGGTCGGCCGGTGGTGGCGCAGCGGATGGCGGAGGTTCACACGGTAGAAGGGCAGTCGCCGGGGAATGGAAATCGGACTGGTAACGCCCAAGAGGCGGAGCTGGTTGCGGTTGCCAAACGTCGCCGGGAGGGGGAGGGTGACGGAAGACGTGATTTTGTTGGGGGGGGGGGGGGGGGGATGTAGTTATGAAAGAGCTTTCAAAAAAATTGTTGCATGCGGGTTCTGCAGGTTCCAGACCCGCCCGATCCAATGAGTACCCTTAGCTGGAACTGTCGTGGCTTGGGTAATCCACGGACAGTCCGTGAAGTTTTGGACCTTGCGTCCCGTAAGAAACCCGACTTTATTTTCTTGATGGAAACCATGGTGGGACGGATACACGCTGAACGTATTTGTGTCCAACTTGGTTTTGATGGTCTTTTTATGTGGATAGTACAGGAGTGAAGGGTGGTTTGGCTTTACTATGGCGGAAGAATAATACGGCAAGTCTTCTCAGCTATTCGGACAATCATGTGGATATTGAGGTTAGTGTGCATGGTTTTTCAAAATGGTGCATGACTGGTTTTTATGGCTTGCCGCAGCGTACCAGGCGTAATGAATCATGGGAGATGTTAAGGTCTTTGGCACCCAGGTCTAACCTGCCATGGGTGGTCATTGGGGACTTTAATGATCTTCTGTATCAGCACGAGAAGAGACGTGGAAATCCACATCCGGATAGTCTCCTACGCGGTTTTGGGGAAACTATTGAGGACCGTGGTTTGTCTCAGATGGCTATGCAGGGGTATCCGTTTACATGGGAGAGGGGAAAGGAACAGTGGATTGGATTGAGGAACGGTTGGATAAGGTATTGGTCACGAATGAGTGGCGCGAGATTGTTGCAGGTGCAAAAATGACCAATTTGATAACCCGCAAGTCAGATCACACGGCCCTCTTTCTTAGCATCCATGACTCCTTTAGGAGGGGTGGGCTGGTAAGAGGGGCTTCCGTTTTGAGAATGCATGGTTATACGATGAGGGATGCCGAAATGTTGTGGAAGAAGCCTGGGAGGAAGGAAGGGATCGTGGGATACAGAATTGTATTGAGTATTGTGGTACTCGCCTATCTCGCTGGGGTGGTGACCGATTTCATAAATTCGGGGAGCAGATTATAAGTCTCCGGAAAGAACAATTGCGTCTGAAAGGAAGAATGGATCCAGTCTCATTGACTGAGTTCCAGCGCCTGGAGGAGCTATTGAGCCGTATTGAGACACAGGAAGATGCCTTCTGGAGACAAAGGGCCAAGCAACACTGGCTCAAGGGTGCCGACGCCAATACCAAGTTCTTTCACAGGTATGCTTCTCACCGTAGAAAGAAAAACATTGTTGATAAGCTTATGAATGATAATGGGGATTGGGTGGAAGGTGAGTCTATGAGAGGGATTATCTTGCATTACTTTGAAAATATTTTCAGTTCGGGTAATCCGGAAGATGGGGAAAATTTCTTTAATGGGATTACACCGCGTGTCACTCCAACACAGAATGAATTATTAAACCGCCTTTTTACTATGGATGAGATAAAAGCTGCATTATTCTCTATGTATCTTGATAAAGCGCCAAGCCCGGATAGAATGAATTCGGGCTTCTACCAACATTTTTGGGATGTGATGGTGGGGGTGGGGGGGGGGGGGGGATGTTTCATCTTTTATAATCGGTTTCTTAGAAACTCGCTGCTTCCCAGCTGCCCTTAATGAAACTGATGTGGTGTTGATTCCGAAGAAAAAAACCCCGGAAAGGGTGTCTGATCTCAGGCCAATTGCCCTCAGCAATGTGATTTACAGGGTAATGGCAAAAGTAATTACTAACAGGATGAAACCTATGATGGATGAGATTATATCGGACTCACAGAGTGCGTTCATACCCGATAGGCACATAACTGATAATATATTGATAGCAGCAGAGGTTGGTCATTATCTGAACAGGAAACAATGTGGAGCTGTTGGCTGGGCTGCCCTAAAACTGGATATGGCAAAAGCATATGACCATATGGAATGGTCTTTCTTGCGTGGAATGCTATTAGCTATGGATTTTGATAATAATTGGGTGGAGCTGATTATGTTATGTGTATCTACTGTGTCGTACAAGTTCTTAATAAATGACTCTCGTACTGATCCAGTCACGCCTACTAGTGGTCTGAGGCAGGGGATCCATTGTCTCCATACCTGTTTATTATCTGTGCAGAAGGGCTCTCCATGTTATTGCAGCAGGCACAATCAAGTAACAAAATACATGGATGCAGAGTGGTTAGGGGGGGCCCCCAATATCTCATTTATTTTTCGCAGATGACAGTTTGTTGTTCTTTAAAGCTAATATGCAGGAGGCTGGGGTGATTAAGAATTGTTTAACAGTGTATGAGAATTTATCTGGGCAGGCAGTTAACTATCATAAGTCCAGTATTTGCTATAGCAAGAATACTAGTGAGGGGGACAGGAACACTGTAGCGCAGGAGCTAGGGGTGGTGCAGGCTCCGAATTTTGAGAAATATCTGGGGCCCCATCTTTTATTGGTAGGGATAGAAAGGCAGCTTTCTCTTATATTGAGGACAAGATCAAGAAGAGGATTGGTTCATGGAACAAGAAGCTTCTCTTTCAGGCTGGTAAGGAAATCTTGTTGAAAAGTGTGGCTCAATCTATGCCTACCTTCTCAATGAGTATTTTTTTTTTTACTACCTATGAATGTCTGTTCTTCTATTGAAAGAACCATGAACAGGTATTGATGGAATTTAGGCTCGGATCAAGGAATTCACTGGAAAGCATGGGATAGATTATGTATCCCTAAGTAATATGGTGGTTTGGGCTTTAAGGAGCTCAAAGCTTTTAATTTAGCAATGTTGGGAAAGCAGGCATGACGACTACTTACAAAGCCAAAATCCTTGGTAGCGTGTGTCTATAAAGCCAGGTATTATCCTAAGGATACTTTCTTAGAAGCATGCTAGGGAATAATCCAAGTTTTTGTTGGCAAAGTATTATGGCAGCAAAAGGCCCGGTTTGTACTGGAATAAGGCGGAGGATAGGAAATGGTCAGGATACAAGAATATGGGATCATCCCTGGCTGCAGGATGAGCAGGAACCAATGATCCAAACAGAGATGCCCCCACAATTGGCTAATGCACGAGTGGTAGGTTTGATTGACCATGATACTGGGACATGAGATACCTCAATTTTAACGGATATTTTTATACCAGGTGATGTATCCAGGATAATGAATATTCCGGTATCACCAGAATATTCGGACACATGGTATTGGTATGATGATCCTAGAGGAATATATTCTGTAAAGAGCGGATATAGACGCATTGTTGGGAATTATGCTAATACAAGTAGTAGCACCTTTAATAAATGGCAGGTGCTGTGGAAACTTAAAATCCCCCCAAATGGAGAACCTTTCTACGGAGAGCCCTAAGTGATATTCTATCTACTACTATGAACCTGCTTAACAAGAGAGTTGGTATTGAGCCATACTTTGCCATATGTGGGGTTGTGCATGAGGATACTATGCATGCATTAGTTTTATGTGACTTTGCTAAGGCTGTGTGGGGGCAAGCCAATCTCTCAATCCCTGTTATTCAGTCGAATATTTTTTATGAGTGGTTTAATGCGATCTTGGATATTCTAGACACTGGTGGTCTGATGTATGCAGCTGCAATTTTATATCACATTTGGACGGCAAGGAACAATGCGGTATGGGATGCCTATTTACTAATGCCGAAGAAAATTATGATGACGGCCGTTTCCGCATTGCAGGCATGGCGCGCCGTACACCATTCGGCCGAACGAACTGCCGCCCCATCTCTGGCCGACACGCCACTAGCTGCTGCCGAGCACCATGGTGCGCCACTGCCGGGGCAGTCCACTCGCCGTTGTTATGTGGACGCCAGTTATCACCACTCGACGAACACTGCCGCGGTGGGAGCAATTATATTGGATGGAAGTGGAGGGTACATCTCCGCTTATACTTCTACTCTCCCAAATTGTTTCTCATCTCTTATGACAGAGGCATTTGCATGTAAGAAAGATTTGTCTTGGCTAAAGGATCGTGGGGAGAACTCTGTGGAGCTACACACGGATTGTTTAACGGTCAAACAATATCTGACTACTACGGCTTGTCCTGATCGCACGTATATTGGCTATGCAATAGATAGTTGCAGGGATTTAATTTCTACTTCGCATTCTTGTTTAGTTGTTTTTGTTCCTAGATTAGAAAATTATTTAGCACATGCTCTAGCTACCTCAGTTATTAGTCAGTCTACAGCTATGTATTGAGATTCAGTCCCACCAGCTACGATTTCGCATTATTTTGAATAAATGCCACCATGGCTCCTTTCAAAAAATTTAAATTGATACAAAATGTGTTTTTTTTTTTAATTCAATAATGAAAAATATTTTAAAAGAACATTTATATTTTATGAATGAGTTTTTTGCACTATTGATCCCATGACTATAGTGACACTATTAGGATTGATCCACGACTTTCAAACTCTCCAATTTCAGTCCACGACTATTGTTTTTGTTGCAAAAAAAGGTCTTTTTGGCCAATTTTCCGTCAAAATCTCACCGGATAAAAAAATCTTCATTTCAAGAAGGGATAAAATAGACATTTACATTGATCTTGCAATCTCGGACTGCTGTTGACCTCTTATTCTGACCAAAGTGCAAAAAAATCAAAAAAAAAAAAAAAAAAAAAACCTCAATTGCCAAAGACAACCCTTAATTTGCTCTCATCTCATCAACGATGTAGCCATTCTGTTTTCCTTCAAAATAAAGAAGATGAAGATAGGCAATGAATGTCGTGTTTAAGATGGCAATCGATGTTTTCCTCTTGTTTGCATATGGGTTGATGAGATGAGAGCAGATTAGGGTTTGTCTTTGGCAATTGATTTTTTTTTTTTAAATTTTTTCTTTGGTCAGAGTAAGAGGTCAACAGTGGTCCGAGATTGCAAGGTCAATGTGAATGTCTATTTTATCCCTGCTTGAAATGAAGAATTTTTTTCTTCGATGAGATTTTGACGAAAAATTGGCCAGAAGGATCATTTTTGCAACAAAAACAATAGTCATGGACTGAAATTGCAAGGTTTGAAAGTCGTGGATCAATCCTGATAGTGCCACTATAGTCGTGAAATCAAAAGTGCAAAAAGCTCTTTTATGAATTATCTAGTCAATGTAATATAAAAGTTTTAATTGTGCAACATCGTATTTTAATTAATCTAATAATATTTAGAGTTGATCTAATTAAAATAAAAAGTATGTATAAATAACATATTGATAGATATGATATGCAATTTATTCTAACCATTTTATATTTTATCATAAATATTTTTATCACTTTTTGAAGTTATTTAATATTTTTCTATCAATATTATTTAAACAAGATTTTTCGCTCCGTCCTTGCATGTTTGTGTCAATTTATATATTTATTGCACATAATAAATAAAGATAGTTAAAGAAGATAATATATATATATATATATATATATATATATATATATATATATATATATATATATATAGTTGATAATAATGAGTCAATGAGTGTTGGGCAGGTGGACCAGTAATTGCTTTATTGTTTGGTTGACACAATAATGAGTTTGGCAAGTGGTCTGGCGTAGCCCATGGAGCAAGTTGGAATCTTAGAATTATTGTTTTTGTCTATTTATAGATTGATTGTCATTGTCTTATTTAATTTAATTATATTATTTTTATGACTTTAATGACATGCCACGCACATTATATCTTACAATTTTATCCAATTAATATCTTCATTATATTACATATTAAATGTTATATCACCATTATTATTAATTACTTTCCATATGTTGAATCTCAGCGCTGCACTATGCTTACTTCCTAAGGGATCACCCATCCCGGCGCTGCACTATGCTTACTTCCTAAGGAGTCACCTTTCCCGGAATTGCCGAAAGTCAAGCACGCTTAACCACAGAATTCTATGGTACCAATTGGTTGTCATATCCTACTTAAAATCAATTGGTGATAAGTAGGTGGACATTAACTATTTAACCACATCTCTCCATGGTAAGCCACATCACCACGTCTTAAATCGAGCAGGGGCTGAACTCGGCCAACCCAGCTAACGCCCAACACCAGACTAATTATATTCGTATTGAGTAGAAATTTAAGATAAGAAAGTGAGATTAAATTAGAAAAAGTTTGCATCATATCATCATCCTCACACCTTTAAGTATGCATGTTTTTTTAAGTAGGGAGGGGAGATCAACGTTATGATCGAAATTACCGTATTGCCTCAAGAGTTATTCACAGACAAATTCATCCAAAATCCCAATGTGATTGACCAATATTATATATATATATATATATATATATATATATATATATATATATATATATATATATTTGCGTATTATTTTAATTTTAAGTATGGAGTGTTCATACCTTGTTAGATTTTCCAATATTATATATATGTTTGCGTGTTATTTTAATTTTTTTTTTTATGAACACTTCATACTAATAAATCTCTTTGAAATTTTAAATAAATGTGACTTGCTCCAAGTTTTTCAAGTCAACAAATTCATAATTCATTATATAAATTCTCACATTTTATTTCTTTCGAATTAAATAATTGATGAATAAATCTCCATACTAGAAAATGTGAACATAGAATATGACAACATACATAAAGTTCATGTGTCCACTAATCAATTAAAATCAAACATGATGTTATACTTATTTCACTTCCAATCACTTAATTATAATGTTTTTTTTTTTAGGGAAGAAAGATTAATGTTATTTTTTATTTTTTATTTTCAAATTTTAAAAATATTTCAGTTTTTAAAAATTTCACTAAACTTAGTCAGATTGCATTTAAGATTATTTTTAATTAAAAGATGGATGGGACACTTCCAACGTTAAAGATTAGAAGCAATTTAAGTTTGGTCAATTCTATTTCGAAAAAAAAAAAGGTTGGTACGGTCAATTCTTGGATGCTGACTGTCATGTCCTTTTCAGAAGTAGATTCCAATAATGTACAAGTCAAATATTTTGTCCTCATTATTTTATATTATTCATTTTGAAAAATATAATCTTGAAAATATTACGTAGTAATATATGGAGTATATGAAATAGGGAAAGCTTCTAATAATAATTAAGGTCAAGGTCAATGGTGTACACCTGGGCAAATTATGTTGTACATCCGTATGCACCATGCATGGTGCATATGGATACAAAAATGACGTTGTTTTATTAAAAACGCGCGTCTCCCCTTAAAAAAAAAAAATTCAGGTTCGATTCCCAGCAATAACATATGAACTAAAATTCCAGAATCGATGAACTATAATTTCATAATCGATGAACTATAATTCCAGAATCTAATCTATGAACTAAAAATTCCAGAATGAATGAACTAAAATTCCAGAATCTATGAACTAAAATTTCAGAATCGATGAACTACAATTCCAGAATCGATAAACTAAAATTCCATAATCAATGAACTAAAATTTCATAATCTATGAACTAAAATTCCATAATCTATGAACTACATAATGCTGTTACTAGGAATCGAACCAGATTTTTTTTTTTTTAAAGAGGAGACACGCGTTTTTAATAAAACGACGTCGTTTTTGCATCCGTATGCATTATGCATGGTGCATACAGATGCACGGCATAACTACTCGTACACCTGAATATTATTTAAAATCTATATTAGAAGAAACTTGCCGGTAGTTGGTCTAATTGATTGATTATTTTTAATTTTCTTGTGGCTCTTGTTTATCGGTCAGCAATCTAAGAACAGTGATTTCTTAATTCAAGGCTTTATGGCATGCAAGTTTTCTTGATAACTAAAAAGTTATCAAGTTCTGGGGAATAATGGCAACGTCAACGCACGATATGAAAATTTTTTAAGAAATACGGACACTATGGGTGTATGGTTGAAAGGAAATCTGTGCCGTGTTATAACAACACTACTTTAAAAGCGTTATTTGTCCGGTAATTAGAACCCAGACACGCTTTCGACAGGCTACACAGACCTACTATGAACAACTTGCACTAGCAATCACGTAGGCGAACCTCACTATTGCTCAGACTAGGGGAGAGAGAAGGAGAATAGAATATGTGACTTGAAGTCAGGTCTGTCCTAAAGCGATGTTGTGAGCTGTTATTAATTATAGTAAGCAGCCCTTCCATCCCACTCACATGATGGACATAGTGTGTTGTCCACACTTTGGCGCTGCTCCTTACAAAGGAGCGCACGGTGCGCTACTAATTAATGAAATGGAAAATTCTTTGAATTCAATTTCCATTCCATTATTCCAATGACAAAGTCAAAGGGGTGGAGGTGGACCAAAATTGCTTTCATCTTTAATTTTCCCAACAAGTTTCACTCCCAACGGGAGTAGCCTATTGACCTTCTTGGTTTGAGCTAGTGAACTATGTGAAATTTAGGTTGGTTCACCTTCCTGTGATCCTTTCCTTTACCGACTAGGGTCATAATGCGAGATTTACCCAGTACATATGCACTCTCCAGTATAGCGAGTTTCCCTCATTAATCAAAATACTTATTCCCCGGCCTACTTGCCCCGGGAATAGCTTATTCTCATTTTGTCCTTTGTGGGCTACGGTACATCACAATACAGGGTTTTACCTAGTGTACACCCTCAAGTAATAGATGTAAACTATTTTATTCCAAAAAAAAAATGTTATTTCATTTCAACCTTATGTGTATTAAAAATTTGAGCGCAGGAAATATAATAATATTTAAGAAAATTGGAAATAATTATTGAAGATACCTTTGAAGATACAATATTATTCATTGACAATTTGTATATGGAGAAAAATCTACATTATAGGGAGAATTACTTGAATTGTGTGGCATTTCATCATAACGATCTTTCATTGCTTGAAAATTGAACTCATGTAGATCAGAAGTGTACTCAAGAATATCATCATGGCCTTCAAGCATGTTGATTACTGCAGACATAGATGGCCTAAGGGCTGGGGAAGAATTAGTACAGAGCAAAGCCACCTTGATCATTCTGAGTGCTTGTTCTCCATCGAAATTAGAACCTAATCTTGGATCTATTAGCTCTAAGAGGTTTCCTTTTTTATGAAGATCAAGTGCCTGAAATTTGTGCATAAATACAACAAAAATATAAGAATAGACCATTTAATTTGACATATCTACAATATATCCATGAATTATTAGTGGTAGTATTGATATCTCACCCAATCAAGGAGGCAAACACAGTTCTCATCATGCCGATACTTCACATTGTTCTTCCCGGCAACAATTTCTAGTGCGACCACCCCGAAACTATAGATATCAGCTTTGAATGTTAAGTAACCCCACAATGCATATTCAGGAGCCATGTATCCTCTTTAAAGAAAAAAAAAAAAAAGAGAGAAGAAAAACTGTTATTTCGGATAAATGGAAGAGTAGTTTCTTTCAACTATATGATGAATTTGAAAATACAAAATGGATGGACAGAAAATTGTTATAACATCTTACTTTGTCCCAGCAACTCTCGTGCTGATGTGTGTATTCTCATCATCGTCAAGTTTAGCTAGACCAAAGTCAGAAACTTTTGGATTGAGCTCTTTGTCAAGAAGCACATTGGTGGCTTTAATGTCTCTATGAACAATTTTTATTGCTGATTCTTCATGCAAGAATGCTATACCTTTCGCAATACCAACACAGATTTTTTGTCTGGTAGGCCAGTCTATTTCCAGTTGACAATTTTCTGGACCTGCAACTAACGGTTAATTCAGAATACTTATGTTTATCTTTTTTAAAACGATTTAATTTGATTCTAAACGTACCAAAAAGAGCATTGGCAAGGCTGTTGTTTTCCAAGTACTCGTACACCAACAACAATTGCTTTCCCTCAACACAACACCCATAAAGTTTCACAAGATTAGGGTGTTGCAAGCAAGAAATCATGCCTATTTCATTCAAAAATTCACGGTATCCTTGACTTGAATTGGATGAGAGTTGTTTCACAGCAACAACTGTCCCATCCAATAACGTACCCTAGTTTTATACACAACAGAAAATCCATGGTTATTAGCATAAGCATATGTAGTATGTCAAAAACGAAAGAGTTAAAGTATGAACTAATAGATTGACAAATTGTGAATATTCATATTTCTCAATACCTTGTAGACAGGTCCAAAACCACCTTCTCCAATCTTATTTGCAGCATCGAAATTGTTTGTAGCGACTTTAATTTGTGTTAAGGTAAATAATAAACCAGTCGGTAGATCAAGGCCTTGTAATTCTGCATTATGACAATTACTTTAAACAAATTGCTAATGCATGGGAAAAAATTACTTTAAAGAAATTACTTTTTGGACAAGCTAACTAGAAAGTAATTGAAAGTAAATGCAGATATTACCGTTTTCCTGTGAGGTCTTGTTTCTAATGTAGATCTTCCACCCAGCCAAACAGAGAATTGTGAAAATAAGAAACAAAGAAGAGGCTACTGCAATAACTATGATTAAAGTCTTCCTCTTTTTGGGAGGCTTGAAATCTGCAGGTTTGTATAAAGGGCACAAGGGTGACTTAGATATCTTTTATTCATCTGCAACTAAATAGAAATAATAATAATAAAAAATTATTTATGTAAGTGATCACTAATAATATTACCCGATTCCACAGAAATGGCAGATATTAAAGGTCCATATGTTCCTTTATTCGGGACTGCTGTTGTTCCTTTTCCAGCATACTCAAAGCGCACCTCTAAAGTTTTATCTCTAACGACCATTTGAAACTGTTTAACCAAGGGTTTATCAACTCCTTGTGCTTCAGTTTCAATATTAAAATCCTTTAATTTCCTTTCGCCCTGTAGCCAATAAAATCACTATAGTCCGTCAAATGCACATCATATCACTTAACCATTGAAGTCCTTAGTTTAAATTGTAATATTCTCAACTGACCTGTATATAAACATCGAATATGCGTCTTCCAAGACTTTGAAAAGATCTGTTATCTCTCAAAACTATCTCTGCAAAATGAAGCTTCACCGTATAGTTTCCATTTGCTAAACAACGCCCATAATACGTCATAGATAAAGGAGACAAGCGAGCTGTCTTGTAGATTTCGGAGTCGTTTCCCTTGATGACAGATATATTTGTTGTTGTAAAGACCTCTACCGTTTTGTTTTTATCCCAAAAGTTTCCCGTACTACTGGTTACCCAGTTTTCTCTATTGGAAACAAATTTCGCAAAGCCTCTAGAATCTTCATCTGCTTCATATGTAGTGTCACCAACCAAAACGTTGCCTCCACCGCAATTGATGTGAAATGAATACCAATCTGCAGAAAAATGAAAAAAATATATAAACTAGACATATTTAGGCAAGCTAAGTATTGTGATATGGTGTGCTTACCCTTTGTACATTGTTTTAAACACTTTCCAGCTTCTCTATACAAAGCCAAAATTAAAAGGTGCTCAAGTAAAAATCTTTGGAGACTAAATTACATTAAGAGTGTCAATATAATATATCCATTCTTTGTCAAAAGATGCTAGAACTTACGAACTTTCTCCTCGGTTATAGCTTTTGAACAAATTTCTGATAGGACAATGAGAAAGTCAGCTAAAATGATCCATGTTTAATTTGAAGGAACACTTGAAAGAGTAGAGGCATAAAAGGGATAGAATCTTACACGGTTTCCCGACAATCTTGTGGCACAGAGCTCGCCTCGAAATTATTGTAAGAAAGATCTATGTTACTGCAAGTCATCTTTTAAATTCTATTAGCGCTTTTTATGAATTCAATATAACAAAACTCATCCCGAATTCGATCTGGAAATGTAATCATGAATTAGATTGAACTTACACTATGGAATTTTGATTTAGAAACCACTCAGGAATTTTCCCACTAAGCGAGTTGTTTGTTAGAAACCTAAGAACAGGTAGCACCCAAAATTTAATTTAGTTTTGATATGCATATATAATCGTAAACATCAAAATTGATTTGTTACTCACATGTAGTGCACAAAATTAAGACCTTGAAGACCATCAATCCCTCCTTCGAGATTATTGAAACTCAAATCTCTGCAAAATCAATATGTTAACAAAACAATAAAGCAAAGAAGCATATCAGCATAAGAATTGATTCAATGCAAGTTGCAGAAGTTACATTTGTTGCAAGCCTGTCATGTAAGTTATATTCGGTATCGTCCCAGAAATATTACACCTCCTCAACATCCTGCACCCAAATTTTTATGTTTTTTTGCATGAACAACTTTATACCATAGTGGAAATATGAGACTTAAGTTCATAAAATTTGGAAAGAAAATACATTATTACTCACAATGTTCTCATGCCTGTCATGTTGGTTAAGGTAGGAAATCTGGAGGCTCCCCCGCCATTTAGCTCGCTGATTCTACTGCAGATTCATATTGTTGATAATGAAATTTCATTATATTCGTTGATCATAATTAACCGTAGCGAATTATGTTATCATCATCAAAATGTGAGTATTAAATATTAATTGAACCGAAACTCACAGTTCTGTTAAACTTGTCAATACAGAAATATTTTGAGGTATGGGTCCTTCAAAACCACTTGCTTGAACCTCTCTGCCAATCATATATGCATCTCGATCAGATCATTAAAACAAATGATTGCCATCTACAACTTTCGATTTTAATCGAATGCTTACAAGTTTTGAAGGTTTTTGAAAGTTTGAAAGCTAGGCAGTTTCCCAGTGAACTTATTACTGCTGAGCCTACTGCAATTGATTTCCCCCGAGAGGCGAGGAGACGTGACAAGTGAGCATGAAGTATAGAAGATCGAAACAATAAAAGATCAAAACGAGGTTCGAAAATTAGGAATATTATGTGTAATAATGATGCACTTACAGCTCAGTCAATTTTGTAAGAGCATTAAGTTCTTTTGGCAATTCACCTGTGAGGCTATTAGCACTAAGAATGCTACAAAGAAAGCATCAAACAAGTGATACCAAAAATGAAAAATTCAGCCCACATATTCTTCAGCTGGGGATGATGAGAAGGATTCTTATATTTGATTAAGAAAAGCTTACAGATTCTGCAAGTTGGCGAGTTTCCCAAGCTCGGGTGGAACAGTTCCATTGAACATATTGTTCTCCAAGCTTCTGAAAATCCATTTAAATTTTTGTTACAACAAAACCCAAACACTAAAAAAAAAAGTTATACTTCTGAGAGAGGAGTAAATTAAAGGAACATACAAATACACAAGAGTCGTTATATTTCCCAAGTATTTTGGAATTGGCCCCGACAATCGATTCACAAGAATAGACCTACAAATATCCCACTTCTTTATCAAGAACAAGCCGAAGCCTTACACCCTTATAGCTTAGGTTATGATACACAACACAACTTACAGATATTCCAAATTGGTAGAAGCCCATTGAGGGGGAATTGTACCACTTAAGTAGTTGCGGCTCAGATCACTGCACAAAATGATATATACATACTAATAATCAAGCAATTCAAGAATACCAATAAATACAGAGAGAGTCTTGAATTGGTACATTGTCTTGAGAAAGGGTAACTTCACCAAGGAAGGAGGAAGAACACCCTGCAGATCCTGTCCTTTCAAAACTCTGCTTACACAACAGTTAAGAGACTATTATGACCCAAAATAGATCTTGTAATTTATTTGTATAAGTCTGAAATTTTATCTAAAATAGACTATTAAGCTTTACATGGTTTGAACATGGCAAATGGCACCTGGGAAGCTACAATTGCAAGTGAGAGAATTCATGTACAGAGGCATATCATTCCTTTGTGGTGTCAACCAGTTTGAGTTGTTGTTGTCACAAGGATTTAGTCCAAAATCCCAATCCTTCTTCCCCAATTCATCTGCTATTTCCCTAAGTGCATTTACTTCCATATACAATCAACCAAAAGGTGGGTGTTAATACATAAATGTAATTTGCATAATAACCAAGAAAACACCAGAAAAGTTGAGGCTCAGCTCACATTCATCTGGAGGAAGCTGCCCACTCTGTGCTTCAACAAATCTTGCATTGAAGGAGAGTAGTATAATTGGTATGAGGATTATGAACATGGAGGCTGCCATGGATGGATTCTGGGGAAGATCAGCTTCAATTCTGCAGTGTTTTTCTTACAGTGAATTGTCCAATAAAAACATGCGTGTCATTTTATATATTCATTACTGTACATAATAAATAAATAAAGATAGAATGATTGAATGAAGAAAATAGCAGTTGACCATGATTCAATTTGAGCAAGCGGACCCAGAATGGGATAATTATGGCTTTATTGTTTGGTTGGCAATATATAATAATATAATATAAGCATTGAGCAAGTGGGATAATGACCCTGAGCAAGATATAACCATGGTATCATTTAAAAAAAAATTGTCCACTGTCCACTGATTGATTTACTTGTAATTGTTATATTTATTTTTTATTTACTTGTAATTGTAATATTTATTTTCAACTTTTAATTAATTATAGAGTTAATTTCAAGAATGATCAATTGATTATTAATATTTATCAATTTTTATCTCTAACTTTCAGTTGGATCATAAATAGTCTTTTGACTATTAATCTTTACCAATTTACATTCTCAACTTCCAATTTAACAATAAAATAGTCTCGTGACTACTGATTTTGTTCTATATACATACACACATATTATTTATGTATATATGGATCAGTTCAAGTGCAGAGAGGCTCCCAGGTGAAAGATGGGTGAGATATGAACCATTGATCAAATATAGATCAATGGTTCAAATCAATGATTTTTTTTTTTTTTTAAAAAAAAGTGCGACCTCAATTAAAGAAGCAAAGTGTAAAAATGGTGCACCTTATGTGTTACAAAAACGCATCTTAAGTGTTAATATGGTGCACATTAACTATTAAATTAGTGCACCTTCAGTATTTTGGTCATATCTTGATGTAGGAACGTCAAAATGGATTGATTCCAACGGAATTGGAAAGCCATTTTGGAGAGCTATAACTTTGATGAAGACCATAAAATCATTTGCTAAATATTTCAAGGTCAAAATGAATGGGAAATGACAAGGCAGTGCAAACTGAAACAGTGCAAAATTTGGAAAACATTCATATTGCCTTGTGGACGGCTGTCCCTTAGGCCGTCCGTGCGTAATTTTAGCTACTGAAAAACAGTGTACCGGCATCCCCAAAACCAGCCAAGAGGCTGTCCCTACCTGCTCTGCCCCTCTTTAAGCACGTTTTTACTCATTTTTACACAGTTTTCGACCCCGTTCGAACCCTAGTCATTTTCTTTCACTTCCTTTCATATTTTTAAGTTATATTAAGCTTAGATTTAGGTTTCTATACATATTTGAAGCTTGTAATCAAGGATTCAATACTTGGATTTCAAGGTTTAGTGGTTTACCATCCATTTCACTAGATAAATTTTCTTTCCCTTATCTCTTTTCCTATGCAATGTTTATACTTGTTACTTTGTTTTTTGTGTTCTTTATGCTATTGAATCATGAATAGTTAGTTTATGGGCTTGACTAGGGTTGTATTGTCTATCTTGATGCTTTATTTGTGATTAATGCATAATGGGTAGAACCATAACCTAGGGGTTTGTGTGTTTATGAAGGTTTTGTATTTATATCTTATTAATGTTTAACGTATACATTCATTGGCATGTATTTGGAGGATTTCTTGGGGTTGGGTGATCAATTCGAGACACCCCTTGCATAAATCCAATTTGCTTCTATGAAAATAAGAGAAATTGGGAGTTTAAGATGTTTTGTGTGCTTGATAGACTTGGAATTGATACACCATGAGAGTGGAACAATTTCTTGTTCTAATCCTTGTTTATTTGCTCACGGAAGTGGCTTTACGACTATGATACCTATGTGCATCCCCGTTTGACTCTTTGGTTACTTGTTCTCCCTAATCCCATAGGTTGTTAAAGCATCTAGATGCTAATGCTCCTAGCTTGAGTCTTATTTCTTTATTTCGATTTATCTCTTGTTTATATGTGTTTTTGGTATTTTGTTTAGTTACCTTAGCCTTACAACTTGTTATACCTTGTTGAGCTTCTTATTGATTGTCTAGTGTTAGTGCCTAGTTGCTTGTAATTGCATGTTACGTGCCATAACCCACAATCCCCTAAGGACGACATTTCACACTCATACACTCACTATCATTCATTTTTGCTACACCAAGCGCGTCAGGGTCTAGGGCAGATGGTAATGGGTTGTAGAACTCTAATGGGCTGGAAGGGGCTAACGGGGTTGGGTTGAAGGCAATTGTTATGCCGTGGAACAATGTTCACCTTGCAAGGTGGACACGGTTCTATGTTCCTATGTTCATACTTTTTGAACTTTATATTCACAATTATTGAACTTTATATTCACAATTACAGAACTCTATGTTCATAATTATAAAACTCTATGTTCATAATTATAAAACTCTATGTTCATAATTTTTGAACTTCATATTCACAATTATTGAACTATATATTCACATTTACAGAACTTTATATTCATAATTATAGAACTCTATATTCATAACTCTATGTTCATAATTATAGAACTCTATATTCATAACTTTTGAACTCTTTATTCACAATTATGACAGTTTTGAAATCGTGTTTACCTTGCAAGGTGTTTTACAGAATAATTTGCCAATTGAAGGAGGCTGGGAGGGTTTGAATGATAATTGGCCTAGCTCTCAAGGATATGGGCCATGCCGTGGGTTTGGGGCAAATTATGCTGTGCATCCGTATGCACCATGCATGGTGCATACGGATGCAAAAACGACGTCGTTTTATTAAAAACGCGCGTCTCACTTTAAAAAAAAATCAGTTTCGATTCCCAGCAACAACATATGAACTAAAATTCCAGAATCGATAAACTAAAATTTCAGAATCGATGAACTACAATTCCAGAATCAGTGAACTAAAATTCCAGAAACTAATCTATGAACTAAAAATTCCAGAATGAATGAACTAAAATTTCAGAATCGATGAACTAAAATTTCAGAATCAATGAACTAAAGTTCCAGAATCGATGAACTACAATTCCAGAGTCAATGACTAAAATTCCAGAATCTTTGAACTAAAATTCAAGAATGAATGAACAACATAATGCTGTTGAAGGGAATCAAACCTGATTTTTTTTTTAAAGTGGAATGCGCGTTTTTAATAAAACGACGTCGTTTTTGCATCCATATGCACCATGCATGGTGCATACGGATGCACAACATAACTATCCTGGGTTTGGTGGAGGGCGTAGATATAGTATTGGATCAAGGGGGAGATAATTCCATGGCAGCAATTATACTGTGGATCGCATTCCACAAAGCTTTGTGGACTACGGTCTAAAAACGGCGCGGTTTCTTTAAGTAAAGAAACGACACGTCGTTACAGTTAAAGGAGCGCGCATTTTTTGGTGTGTTAATTACCAACTGAAACTACAGTATATCTAAACTAACACTGCCTCACGTATTATTTTTATATTATCAAATGAAACTGCAATTGAATTTAAATGAAACTGTAGTTGTGTTGAATGACACTGCAGTGTATACAAAATGAAAATAAATAACAATTTCACATATTTAAGTGAATATTGTCTAGCAAAACTGTAGTTATATCAGAATGATACTGTAGTTGTGTTTAAATGAAACTGTAATGTATATCAAATGAAACTGAATAACATTTCACATATTTGAGTGTATATTTTGCAATGAACCTGTAGTTATATCGAAATGAAAATGTAGTTGTGCTTTAATGAAACTATAGTGTATACAAAATGAACTAAATAACATTTTCACATATTTGAGTGTATAAATATCAAATGAAACTGAATAACAGAGTTATTTTTATTTTTTTATTTTTTTTATTACGAAGGGAAGTTTTTGTATTACAAGGGAAGGTGAACACCCAAACTACTAATTGTCTCCATTGAGGCTAACCATCACCTCCTACTTAGGAGAGGAAACGGAAACCATTGGACCACAAGGTTCTTGGTGGTGCCATTTCTTTTCATTAAACAAAACAACGTCGTTTTGATGTGCGGTTCACAAAGCTTTGTGGACCGCGATACACAGTATAATTTGTCATTCTAAGGGGAGAGGGTTAAGGGTATAGAGGTATAGGGCTAGGTAGAGGTATTGGGCTTGATGCTAGTATGAGTGGCAAATTATGCTGTGCATCCGTATCTGCATGGTGCATACAGATGCAAAAACGACGTCGTTTTGCATAAAACGCGCGATCTACTTAAAAAAAAAAATCAGTTTCGATTCTCAGCAACAACATTATGTTATTCATTTTTAGTTCATTCATTTTGGATTTTTTAATTATGAAATTCTGGAAGTGTAGTTATGCAATTCTAAAAGTGTAGTTATGCAATTCTGGAAGTGTAGTTATGCAATTCTGGATGTATAGTTATGAAATTATAGATGTGTAGTGAAATTATTGATGTGTAGTTATGCAATTCTGAATTTTTATTTTTTTAAGTTAGACACCAAAACGACATCGTTTTTGCATCCATATGCACCATGCATGGTGTATACGGATGCACAGCATAACGCTCCAGTATGAGTGGGGAGGAGATTAAAGAAAGGTTTGATGAGCTATACAATGTTGGGTTGGATGAGGAGTTAGAGTCTAGGCTTTATGATAATATTAAGTTTGGGTTTAATATGATGGGTCATCTGAATGAGAATGGAGAAAAGGAACCTGATGGTAAAGAGGAGGTTGCACAAACTGGGCAGGAAAATAATAACATGGAAAATGTTATTGGGCTTGAGAAATTTGATGGGCCTAAGAAAAGGAGATGGAAAAAGAAGACATAGCAAGAATGGGCTTGGAGTTCAAACTAGGGCTATGGCAAGGAAAGGGCCCAAGACGGATGTGACTTTTCAATTCTTGATGACCTAAGGTAATAATTCTGGAACGTTATACTCTGAGCACGTGCCCACCTTACACGGTGAGTATGGTTCTATATCCATAATTTTTTTACTGTAAATTCATAGTTTTTATACTGTAGATCTATAATTTCTATACTGTAGATTAATAAAATTTATACTTTAGATCAAGGTCGAAAAAATCGCTAGGCGCTTGGGGACTGCCTAGGGCGCCTGGGGACTACCTAGGACGCCTAGGTGGACGACCGCCTAGCGCCTAGACGCGATTTTTGCAACGCTTTAGATTCATAATTTAAATATAGTAGA